ATTACAAGACTCACAGTTTGATGAAGAGCCTGGGCCCTCCAGTCTTGTTCCTGATGAAGCTTCAGCTGTGTGGGGAGAATGAGTCAGACTTGGAGGATTCACACCTGATGGACATGATGATTGATGCTCGTAGGCTGGCAATTAGCGAGAGCAGATCAGCAGCAGTCAATACGACAACTCCAGGGGAGGAAGAGAAGGCACTGAGAGGCAACGCCTTGGGACTGCTGTATAAAAAGGGAAGGTGTGGGTGGTGCTGGCTGCTGAAAGCAACCGTTGCAAAGTATTTCATGGGATCATGTTCTATTAGTATTGCCGGTGACTACTTTTCTGTTTGCATTGTGTTTCATGTGGACAATTTCCTTCATTTGGATTGTGTTTTGCTGCTTTTGTTTCTGGACTATTTGGCAGGTTTGTTACCCATATTAAAAGGGGTTTGTTTTGTTTTGAGTCTCCAGCCTATTTTCTCAAAACGGGTTTTTGTCCTTATGCCTTTAACAAGGACAGCCATAGGCTGGGATAGAACACCTATGTATCTGGGAGCTTCACTTTTTAGGGGTCTTTTTGGGAAGTGGTGAGGGCTATAGGAGTAATACAGTGATATGAAAGGGCAGGGATGCAGTTTCAAGGAACAGGCACACTGAGCCTGTTAATATTTATTTCTTTTCAGTGGAAACTTTTCTCCTTGAAAAGAGTGCATCTTAAGCCAAAAGGCTTTCAGATATTTGATACACCCTATATATAGCCAAGATCTGTCTTGTAGCAAAGAAATCAGATATGACTCAAATCACATATAGGTTACCCTCCACTTACAATCACAATTGGAAGCAGAATTTCTGTTATTAAGCAAGATAGCTGCTGAGTGAATTGTGCCCAATTTTATGACCTTTTTTTGCCAGGGTTATTAAGTGAATCATTGTTCATTAGGCAAATCCAGCTTTCTCCATTGACTTTGCTTGTCTGTCTGGGAAGGTTGCAAATGGCGATCACATGACTGCAGGATGCTGCAACTGTCATAAAGAGTTTGTGGTTGCCAAGTGCCCGAATTCAGACCATATGAGAGAACTGATCATAAGTCACTTTTTCCAGTGCCCTTGTAACTTTGAGTGTCACTAAACAAATGGTTGTAAGTCAAGAACTATGTGTAGTTGCAAGTAAAAAAAAGAGAAAGCTGTGTGTTTATACAAGATAGCATGGCATTAAAATCCAGTTAAGCTCAATAGTGTCAGAAGAAGAATTTAGGGTTCCATTTTGAGCTGGGAGTGCGCAAGAATAAATAAAAATGAGATCTAGACACTGTGAGGAAAGAAAAAAATATTTATTCCTAGAAGCAAAACAATTTCCCTTTAGGGGCAGGCTGTAGAGAAATGGAGTATAGCAGCAGATTTTTACAGGGTGAACTTGTCCAGGGTGTGGAAATGTATGCATGCTGATTCTAAGGAGATACTTGAGGTGTGTGTGTATGTGTGTGTTGTGTGTGTATTCTTGTGAACATGCAATTCCATTGGGAGACCAAATTTAATTAACTCTATTTGTGTTTGCAGACCTTATCCTTTGATATGTGGATTAGGTCTGTGTAACTTATTTGGGGGGGGGGGGGTTTGAGGAATTTTGCTAATTTTAGTTGATTAACTTAATTTCAGCTTGACTATCAATTATCTAGTGGAGACATTGATTCTCAGACCATTTGTGGATTCTGTTAATATTTTAAGGGAAGATGGAAACGGTATAAAGAATAAAATATATTTGGATATAAAACTTCTCCCAATGGCTAGATTCTAAAGTGAGAAGTAATTTCCTTGGAATGTAGGCCTTTGGCTACAACAAACACAATGTTAAAGAGAGACAGGCCTTCTACATATGTTTGGAAACTCTTCACTCGGTCCTTTGAGAACCAGGACCTTCTGTGGAAAACAAATTCCTATCAAAGCTGGACTCTTATACAGTCTGAGCCTTGGATCACTGAAACTGGTGACCGCCCTGCTAAACAAAAAGCTCTTCAAAAATTTTCTTGCACATATAATCCTTTAGTTTCTCTCCTGTTTCTCCTCATTCCCACCCCCTCCTTTCCATGTAATCATTCCATTCCGCCTGTCGGAAAAAGATTCTACAGTAGTGTTTGACCGTTGCACAGAAGCTTCTTTGTTGGGAGCAAAGCGTGCCCTTCAGTATCTGTGGAACTAGAGCAAAAGGAAGGAGGTGAGGGAGCAGACAAAACCCCTGACTCTGGGCAACTCTTAAAGGAAATTATTTCCACACATGAATACCAGTCTCTCACCTGGTAGGACAGAGCAGTGAGTTAGTATTACAGAAGCACTAAAAGGGGGATTATGTGTGCTTTACTGTGAGTAACCTGTGAGTAGAATCTGCCTGTGGGCTGTATTTATGAGGGATAATTTCTCTTTCTAATGCCAGATTTTTGTAGAATAATAGGCCTTTTCTAAGAAATGTCTGTTTTGAGATAAGTTGTGTACATTTTAATGGGTCGAGAATCGCTTATGCATGTCCTGTGAGGTTTTTTTTTTCTTCCTTAATGCAGGTTTTTTTTTTATGTTGATCCTTCTTGGCACAGTTTAGATTACTGTTTTGAAGTGTCTGATTACAGGATGTATACATATTTATTTTTGCTTGTAATTTTTCTTGGCTTGGCCAATGTAATTCAAATTACATCTTCCCTTGCCAGTGGGAGACGTTTTAAAATTACACCATAGAGTAATTACTAGCATCAAATGTACAAAGTCCCCCTACCACCTTCCTGTTGCTGAATTGAAGGCTGCAGAAATAGAAGGCTGCAGGAGCTTTTCCTCTCAAACTTAGTTTTTTTCCTCTCCTGTTGTCGACAGATCTCTTGGTAATTGCATTCTGTGGCAATAAATATCTGCTCTCTTTAAGAAGGGTGACTCCATCCATCAGCTCTGTATCATTTTACCAAAGAGGCATTCTTGAAGAGGATAGCAGCAAGCAGTCATGACATGGGTCTGAAATGATATACACAGAGAAAGTCATAGAGGCCTAAGATTCCTGTGGCTGTCGTCCCAAATACAGGTAGTCCTGGACTTACGAACACATTTGGGACTAGAATTTTTGTTGCCAAGCAAGGTGGTTATTAATTGAGTCCCAACCAATTTTACAATCTTATTTGCTACAGTTAAGCAAATTACTGCAGTTGGTAAGTGAATCATGAAGTTGGTAAGTGAATCTGGCTTCTCCCATTGACTTTGCTTGTTGGAAGCCAGCTGGGAACATTGTAAACGATGGTCACATGACATTGCGACCATTGTAAATACATGCCTGCTAATTTTGATCCTGTGACCAAGGGAATGCTGTGATGATCATAAGTACAAGGACTGATATAAGTCACTTTTTTCAGTACTATTGTAACTTCAAATGGTTGCTAAATAAATGGTTGTAAGTCAAGGTCTATCTGTAATATAAAGGAGTTTTTACTTTTTCAGGGAATGCTGTGTAACTTGCTGGTGATTTGAAAGATATTGGGGGGCCTCCAACAAGCACCTAGTTAGCTGTTGTTGAAAATGAGATAAGGAGCACTGTAACTAGAAATTAAAAAGTATTTTAAAAGATCTCCATCTCTCAACAATTTGGTATGGTTTCCTTTGCCACTTCTCCACTGATTTTATGGTGCTGATTTTGACTCTTTTGTGAGCCCATTTTACTCTTTTCCTAAATGTAGAACCCCTTTAAAAATAAAACCAGAGGCAGAAAACAAGGCGATGGTGCAATGATATATCTACAGCGGACAACGTGGAATGTTTGACCCTTCTGGTCTCTCTCTTTTTCTAAAAAGAAATTGTCTCTTTCTAAATAAAAAAAAAATTGCTAAGGGTAGGTCTCTATTTAAAAAAAATGCTAAGGGAAGGTCTCTTTTTAAGGAAGCAAAAAAATGTGGTAAGCCTATTGAAGATTTAACACATCTAATCTACCGTACTTATTTTTGTTCAGAAAAAAACAATATTAAGATGCACTGTCATTATCAGTTAACTGTTGAAAATTCAGAAGTTGATCTTGAGGGCTCAGGAGTGCCGCCCAAAGAGGGTGCAGCCACTGGTCGCCAACATTTGCTTAAAACCCTCTAATTAGCTTTTCCTAGCTGGTCCACAGACTGCGGAATGGAATTCAGAGATTTGGAATCTCAGTGCTTTTGAAAGATGGGGGCTGGGGAAGGAGTCTCTCAATGGTTCGTGATTGGACTGTGTCAAGAATGTGCTTGGTTCAGCTTCAGCTTTAGATTCACTATTATCAAAAATTTTGGGAAGGAAAATTATGAAAAAAATGTTTTTGTGACAGCCAGATTGTAGAATATCTTCTCTTATTTATTTAGCAATTTTTTTTTTCATTTAAGGCCACATTGCTTTATTTGCTAATGATTTTGTTTATCATTAGGGTTTTTAAAAATAAATAAAGATAAAAAAGTTTATAAGTCAACCAAGGCTTTCACAGTTCCATGAATTTTATTCCCCACTGTCTTCTCCTACCACACTCAGTTCCGAGGAAGAGACTAGAATTTTAAGACAACAGAACAATCTTTCATTTAAAAAAAAACCTTTTCTCTTTCAAATCTCAGGGGCTCAAGGGAAGCTGAATGACCCCAGTGGCAGAGATGGGGAACTAAGCAAGGGTTTGGTTGGCTTTAACACGCACCTCTGGCTACTTGTCTGATGGCTTGTTTAGTCTTGTTGGAGTTTTTTCTTAGTAATTTTCAGTAATTACCTTTTTTGGGGTCCTCAGCCAATTCACCTTCACCTTAGGGCTGTGTAGAGGCTGCAGTTTAAAGCCCCAGGTTTCTCTCTGAAGTAAAAGCCTGAAAAAGGAGATAAGAAGCATTGCTTAATGAATTAAATGCTTTCTTGGTCATGTTTCCTTTCCTCTCCTTAGCTTGGATTTGCGTTCTCTTGTTTTTTCTTCCCTCTCCTTTTGATTTCTGTGGAAATCTGTCCATTTCTGGCTCTTAATGTGTGCTTTGTTTTCATATCTCATTCCCCCAGCTGACTTGGAAAATGAAGACTGGTGCCTGGGATCAGAGCTGACATCAGCCAACATAAAGACAGAACCAACAGTGACTGAAACATCCGGCCTTGCTCCGTCAGGCAGCCTTACTGCTTCGCCCAGCCCCACCATCCTGGAGGGGGAAGAGCCACCGCTGCAGAATGATGGCACAGTATGGTTTCTGGTACTTAAAAACTTGATTAGCCAAAAGGATAATATCCCTAGACAATGAGAAGCATAGTGCCTTACTTAATTTGAGGCAGAGTTAATAGAGATGGCAGAAGTAAAATTGTACGTCCCAGTCACATGATGTTTTGCTTAACAACTGAAGGCGAAATAAGGTCATATATCTTTTGCGATCATGTGATTTACCACTTAATGACTATAACACTTAATGACAGAATTGCTGGTCCCAATTATTCTGGAGTATGCCCCATTCTATGTGGCTAGTTGGAACATGAAACATGCTTGCAATGGCATCTTGCAGCACAAGCAGGGTATCATAAAGCTGATCTCCACCCAGAGTGAATGAAGAAAGTGGTGCAACACATGCTTCCATGTTATTTAATAAAGCAAAAAAGGGATAACCATCTGCCCTAGTTCTAAAAATGTTTCTTTTTGAATTTCTTTTTTTTTTCCAGACTAAATCAGACAGTCACAAAGTTCTTCCTGAGATTAAACTGGAGCCACATGAAGTGGATCAATTTTTGAACCTTTCATCCAAGGAAGGTTTGTTATGTAGCATAGAGTTTCTTCTGTACAATGATTGGCAAGAAAGAACATTACTTTTGATCAGGAATCTGTGTGGTTTAGAATTATTATTCAGTAGACATATGGAAAAACTGTGTCCCAAGGAAACTGTTCTTTTTGCTAAAAAAGGAGGGTGGGGAGAGGAGCAGGAGATAGTTAAAGGTTTTAGGGTGCCCTGGCAAGAAACGTGTTCTGTCTGCTCATGGCCATTGTCCAAAGGAGGAATGCAATGAATAAGATGCTATACTCTTCCTCTGAGCCACTCAATTACAATGAGAAAACTGCTAAAAGACGCTCAGGCTTTATCAGTGCGTCTTTTTCTAAGCTGTTGGACTTGGCAGGTACTAACAATTCCAATCTCTTTTATCCAAGTGTGTCTACACAGAGGGGGTTAAACCACCCGATTGAAGCACTGTCTTTTTTAAAACCTGTGTCACAATATACATAAAATAAGGGGATGACATTGATTGCATAGTTCTGGCTGCTATCTTAACAATTCTGTGTCTTCATGATCTCTGCACATGGACATTTGTTTATGAAGTCTTGGAGTTGCAGATGAGAGTCATACAGAAATGTTTAACCTCCAGTTCTCCCCTTTTTTCTCTTTCTTCATCCATGTTTGCATTAAGCCAGAGTTTACTGTTAATTTGAACCAGGAAATTTTCCCTTAATATCAGCTAACAAACCAGGATAATAAGCTAAAATCAGGAAAGAATGATTGGCCTATGGTGGTCTGCTCTTTTTTGTTAAGCTTTTCTTAGAAGTTAAGAATATTGGTTCTTTTGTCTATGGCTGAATGTTCTATTGACTATTAAAAATGCAGACACAGAAATCTGGTTTTCACAGTGTTGTTAGGATTCCTTTTCAAGTTACAATTGTAATTCAATAGATAATTCATTGGAATTGAGTTTTCACAATGATTCTCTAGCTATGCAACAGTACTTTGTGATATACTGCCTAGAGCACTTCTCTGAGACATGGACAGCTATATAAATTTGAGAAAATGAATGAACAAACGAATAAATGAATGAATGAAGAGTTAAAAAGACAGTTCATCTCCTGATAACTGAAAACATGTGGTTTTCTTGGGAACAATATGGAAGTGACTTTTTCTGGAAGTTAGGTAGATAAATAGACAGATGGACAGACAGACAGATAGATCATAATAGTTTCATTCCAGTTTGGAATATGAAGAAGCATACCATTTTATATTATGATATAATTGCTTTATTATAGAGATGCTAGGTTTGCTTATTTTCATATTTTGAGTTTGAATCTTGGATTTTATGTTTTTGCTGTTAAACTTTAGACATGGTCATTTGTTCAGGTGTAACTAATTTATTCATCCTTCCTTTCAGATGCTTGCTTGAGAAAGATATTATTTGATTCAGTCATTTTTCTATCAAGTATACCCTTTGAAATCATGATTTAAACTTCATGTACAAGCTAGGGTATGCATTGATAACCTGATTGGCATCTATCAACTACCCTTAACCCATACTTTTCTAGTTTGGGCATCCAGGAAGTTTATGATTTACAAAACAAATGTCAAGGTTCCAATCGACACAGAGAAATAAAGCAGAACTCCGAGGCTTGCAAATCCCTCAAAGAACATGTTTATTGATACAAGACTATGTATTTTTCAAACTCAATCACATGAATGAGATAAAGTGGAAGAGAGAATTTGCATTCCTAAACATTACCTATAGCTCATGATTTTTGAGTCATAGCATCTAACCAGGACTATTCTTTTTCTAATATTTTAAAACAAAACTCTCTAGTTTATTCTTCCTCCTCTTGTTTTTCTCCTGCAGTAGTGGATACTCTACACATGCCTCCAACACCCCCCAGCAGTCATGGCAGTGATTCTGAGGGTGGACAAAGCCCAACCCGGTCCCTCCCACCATCAAGTCCCACCCACTTGCAGGCCACCGTTAAAGTGACTTCACGCACAGCTTCCGCCCTCACCAATTCACCTCTCTTAACAGCACCACATGTAAGAGACAGTGGCCTCTGCCTTTTTCTTTTAAGTATTGCATTTTGTTTGAATTATTTAGGAACTTTGATTGGTATTAAAACATTTGTAATGGAAATTATGATTTGTCCCATTTAGCAAATGCTTATTTTTTTTTTTACTTCAGAATATTGAAGAAGAACAGTAATTAAGGGGATCTGGATATTGCTCGGTTGAAGAATGCACTAACATAAGGCTGCCCTCAGAATGTGTAGTTACAATGCTCCAGGCATTTAATCCATAGCCATTCCCATTTGTCTATAGCAGTAGTTCTCAACCTGTGGGTCGGGACCCCATTTGGGGTCGAACGACCATTTCACAGGGATCGCCAAACAACGCAGTCCGCCATTTTTTTTCCCTTTTCCTTAGCTGTGCTACTCCCTTTTATTCCATTGGCTTTTGAAAGCCAATAGAATAGACTCTCTTGAATAGAGTCTAATTCTATTGGCTTTCAAAAGCCAATAGGAATTGTCCAGGCTGTCTCTGCCCTGCTGAGCCTGCCAAAAGTCCCATTCTGCAAATGGTGCTGCACCAGTTGAGTAGTCCTCGACTTACGACCAGTTGAGTAGTCCTCGACTTACTACCGGTTGGGGGTCGCGGCATTAAAAAGGTTGAAAATCACTAGTCTATAGGCACTCCTCGCTTAATAGCCAGCAACCAGTCAGAGTTAGGATGGATCCTTCAAAAGACACAACCTGGTTCAGAGTTCTGACAATGGCATCCTGTCTCCATGGTTACATGATCTCACTGTGGGCACTTGGCAAATGGTTTACTTTTTGGCTGGTTGTAGCATCCTGTAGTCATGTATCTGCTATTTACTTTTTTTGCTGATTTCAAACCTTTTCAGCCAGTTTCCAGCAAAAAAAATAAAAACTCCCAAGGAATGAATGGACTCCCTTTATAACCAACATGTTCACTTTATGACCTCTGCAAAAAATTTTTTTGTAAAACTGGGTTGTTCATGTGGGTGCCTGGATCTATGACTGTCATGACTTACAGTGGAAATTCCAGGCTCCATTACAATCGTAAGTCGAGGACTACCTGTATATAAAAATGTGCAAATATTGTTCTGCTGGCCACCCAATTAATTAATCCTATAGCTCTGCCTCTTTCCATTATGGATATTTATGTTTGTATGAATATACACATATCCTCTCTCCCCAGTGTTTTACTACAATATTTAGCTGACTAACAGCCTAAATAATTAAAAACATGCCAATTGATTAAGAAATGCGTTGATGATTTGGAATGTTAATTTAAAAAAAACATTTTTAATATAAATACTTGAAGAAACTTAAAAAGCAACTATTTTAGTGCAGACCTAACTTCTTGAATCTATTATATTAATTGAATCTATTAATATTAATTGGGTAGTGGTCCTTTTAAACCAAGTCTGTACTGCTTTGGAGAATAGACGTTCCTGCTTGCTTGGGTATTTAATTCTAATATTTTTGTTTGCTGTCATGATCACAAATTTAATATTTTAGACAGTGTTACCCATGCTTACCAGTGCCTTCTTTTCCCTTTTCCCCAACTCACCCTCTTGTCAAAGAAACTGCAGGGCACAGGTCCCCTGATCCTAACAGAGGAGGAGAAAAGAACTTTGATAGCAGAAGGATATCCCATCCCTACAAAACTTCCCCTCACTAAATCAGAAGAGAAAGCACTGAAGAAAATCCGTAGAAAGATCAAGAACAAGGTAATTTGGTTTATTACACATCTGTTCCTACAATCTGTTCCCCCAACGCTTTTTTCAATCTTTCCAGCAAGTAGGAAAGATGATTCTAGTCTCTCTGTGAATTTTCCACTCTTTAACAGCCATCCACTTCCTTGCTGTCTTTCTATGGGTGTAAACCATGTCTGTGCTTGCTGTTCCCTGCCTCCAAGTTTGCCTGCAGCTAAATTAAAAATATTTTAACTGCCTATCTGTCCTAAGATTAACCTCCAAAGGGAACATGGTTTAACAGGATTTTTGTTTTCTGTTACTGAGTAACCATAGTTTTTTCCCCCCTGTTGGTTTGGTTTGGTCTGGTTTTGTGAAGGGTACTGCCATTTTCTGTTCTAGATTTCTGCCCAAGAAAGCAGGCGGAAAAAGAAAGAATACATGGACAGCCTGGAGAAGAGGTGAGCCGAAGATTCCATTTGATCAAACATCTAAGAAGCTGGACAAAACGGAAGCTTAGAGCCAAATTGTAAGAGATGTTTATTTGCAGGAAGTCCAGGTTTAATATCCGATCTCTGTGATCAAGAATTCTCTTTAGAAAGCAAGCTGTTCAAGGGAGGAAGATAGATGGGGCAATGGCCTTATTCAATTTAAAGAGATCCAGCTCTTGAGAAGTTGCCTTGCTGTGTTGAAAGGAAACACTATGGCCTCCAAAATTTTGAAGAATACATGCTTTCTATGCCCCCTAGTGGCTACTAAGAGGGGGGGGGGGAAGCCAAATTGTTGATGGCATAAGGAACAGACTATGCATAATAAATATATAAAGATATTGGAATAATAATAGTATAACAGCCATGGTCTAATACAGGGGTCCCCAACCCCCGATCCATGGTTCAATACTGGGCTGCGGCATGCCAGCAACCGGTCCACACAAACAAGCAAAGCAGCACACAAAACCACGCAGCTCCAGTCTATGGAAAAACCTCTCTCCACGGAACCGGTTCCTGGTGCCCAGAAGGCTGGGGACCTCTGATTTAATATACCCAGGCTGAGAATAAAACTTGGAGCAGAATGTGCTGGTGAAAGAAGACTATTTCATTTATTTCTCAATAAATAAATCACCATCCTTCCTAAACATAGGGTTTCTCTACAGTGCAAGCTAGTCTTGGTTATAAAATCAAAGGTCAGTAATGTAAATCTCATGGCAAATTCTTATTTAATGGCAGTTCAGAGAGTAGATCTCATATTGTTGGTTAACCAAATGCAGATCTTTAAGCCTTTAATTTTCATTGATTTCCAAGGGTTGAGTCCTGCTCAACTGAGAACAGTGAGCTTCGCAAGAAAGTAGAAGTTCTGGAGAATACAAACAGGTAAAATATGCAATCCAAGTAGAAAAACAAACTTTCTTTCTTTCCATACTATATTTTGAACTGAAAAAAACTGGAATGGCCAGGAGACCAATCAGCTAAATTATTTTTATATAAATGTGTCAATAGATCTGAATTTCTAAAAAGGCCCAGATGACACATTAAAAATGGGATGTGACATTAGCTATCACAGCATCCTTTTGAACCAGGATCTAAAATTCCCTCACTGTACTACTATTCTTATGTGAGTCAAATTACAGGTAGTCCTTAACTGACAATCGCAATTCAGCCTACAATTTCTATTGCTGAGCAAGACAGCTGTTAAATGACTTGTGTTCCATTTAATGTGTTGGTTTTTTTTTTGCCATAGTTGTTAAGCGAATCATTGTAGTTGTTAAGTGAATTATGTTGTTAAGCGAGTCTGGCTTCCCCCATTGACTTTGCTTTTTGGAAGCCAGCTGGGAAAGTTACAAATGTGGATCTCTGGACCCTGGGACACTGCAACTGTCATAAATTAATGCCAGTTGCCAAGTGCCCAAATTTTGATCCCGTGACTTTGGGGATGTTGAAACAACTGTAAGTGTGAAAACTGGTCATAAGTCTTTTTTTTTAGTACCATTGTAATTTAGAATGGTCACTAAAGGAATGGTTATAAGTTGAGGACTACCTGGTTGAACTGGAAGAAGCAGAGAATCAGCGGTTTTATTGATGTGGGTGGGATTTGTAGTTCTGTGAGATACGGAGAAGGATCCCCAGAATATCTACTCCTTTGATAGTAGAATGTCTTCTGTAGAGTTTGGAAATGATTTGCTGGTGTCTTTATATTTTGTGTAGATGATTTTAGTGAACTGTTTTGGATACTGTGTGGAAGACAGAACGTGACATAGAAACACTGCAGTAAATAAATCTTGCAAGCAACTGAAAACCGGGGAAAGCTGTTTGTGCCTACTGCTTCTCACAGTGTGGGCTGTCAGTGTAGCTTCAGATTGTCAGGCATCAGCAACAAGAAAGGCACTTACCATTTTTTGACACATGAAGTGGCAAGCTTGAGCAAAATCCTTCAGGAGGCTCACATTCCGTTACTGATTGTACATTTGGTCAGCTTTGTCAGCTTTGTTATTTCTGTGCAATAACGGATTAAGGTAATGAATCTGGCATAGTTTAAATAGCGGTGGGCAGCTATGGCGGTTTAAAAAAAAAAGGATTTAAATAAAAGTACGCAATCATTCATTCTTAGATGAACCAGAGTTAAGGGTCTCCACGTATAAGTTTTGCACTTGGAGGCAGACCTCTGCGTTACCATAGCAAATTCAGATTCCTATACCTTTTTCAGCTGCTGTGATGTAGAAAGGGATTTTGGCAAACTGAAGAGTAGGATGTACTCCTTTTTTTTCTAAGCTGGTTTTCCCCTGACATTTCCCTTTTGCTCTGGGTTTGGCATCTGAGATTGGAGGGAGAAAGCAATCATTAAGTAGCCCATAAGCAAATATTCTCAAGCTATGCAAGTATAATTCAATGATTTTGTGTTGAACCTCCTATGGAAAGGAAGGACCATAACTCAATGTCAGAATACCTGCTTTGTATACAGATAGGCCTAGGCATTGGCAGCTTTAACAAAGAACAGAGTATGGTAGCTGGCCAGATTTCTGCCTGGAAGGCTTCTATCAGGCTAAATAGTTTGATATAAATTTCCAAATCAGGAAGAGATTTGGTAGCTGGAGAAAGATAAATATTGATAGGTTAATGCATTTATGCTTTACTTTTGAAGGGAAAAAAGGTAAATGAGAAAAGAACTCCCACAATTGGGAGTATATACAATAGCCATAAAGTATAGACAATCTCTGTTCTTTGTGACTTAAATGTGTAATATTGTTCCTTGTTAACAATGCTACTCTATTCTTCCTCAAAATTGTATTCTCGCAAATGTGTTGAATCACGGCTACCAGATCAGGATTGCAAAAATCTGGATGAGCCCTAGATGCAGTGAGCCCTGGACTTCATCTCCCATAATGTTAAAGCCATAGTTCACAGGATTAACTGAAGTTTAACAGATGTGTTGCATGTCTCAGAGATACAGTGTTGGGAAAGGCTCCTCTAGAACTTCATTTTGTAAAAAGCTGGATCAAACTGCATCTATTGAGCAATCTCAAAGAAAAGAAAATTAATATTTTCTTTCTTCTTGTGGGGTTTATTATGTGGGTGTATTCTTCCTGACAGGTCTTGAATTATTAAAATCTTAAAATATCCAATACATCTGAGAAACCATAAGGGCAGAAAAATTGGAAGGATGTGTGAAAACCAATTCTTCACACCGTGCAGAGTTAAACTGTAGAATTTGCTATCTCAAGCTGTATTGATGGTTCTCAACCTGGGTAGAATTAGGGATTAGACAGTTTCATGAAAGATAAGGTGCTAGTAGTCAGGGTGTCTATGTGTTTTCATATATTCTCCTGGCAGACTTCAGTGACATTTGATTGACCACTGTGGGAAAAGAAGATTGGACTAAATGAGCCTGTAATCTGATCCATCAGGGCTTTTATGTTCTTAACTGACCTATATAGTGATTCCTGCTCCTGTATCTTTCAGAACGCTCCTGCAGCAATTACAGAGGCTTCAAACCATGGTAGCTGGCAAAGTGTCACGCTCCTGTAAAGCTGCTAGTACACAAACAGGGACATGTCTAATGGTAAGCAGCTTCTCATCCCTGATGGTCCCTTAGGACTTTCACTTATCATTCTTTGGTGTTTCTAAGCAGCTTATGCTGTCAAGGTGTGAGGAATAAGTGTCTAGGTACCCACATTTTGCTCTTAAAAACTGAGAATATAGTTATGGTTTATCTACACATTCAAGATCCTTATCAGATTATTATTTATGAAGTGTTTCTGCTTCCAGTAGATCCAGTTAAGTTCCTTTCTAAACATACTGGAACACACAAGCAGCAGGTGAAATGGGAGGGGTGGTAATATAAAGCCAATAAAAATATGTGATACTTGTTTTTAATTATATCTCAACTAAGTAGAATGATTCCAAAGCTTCTAGAATCACTATGCTAAAAAAAGATGTGTTTCTAGTACAGATAGTACAATTAGGACTAGAATTTCAGTCTCAAAGCAATGCAACCATTAAGCAAGTCATTATGTGACCCACTTGATTTCACAAACATTTTTACTATGATTATTATGTAAATCATATGGTCATTAATTGAATCACATGGCCGTTAAGCAAACCTGGCTTCCCCAATTAATTTTGTGTGTGGAAAGCTGGCTGAGAAGATCAGAAGTTGTGATCATGCTACAACCATTGTAAATGCAATCCATTTGCTAAGCACCTGGATTGTGATCACGTGATTGAGGGTGGTGGTGTGATGATCATAATTTCAAGGACAGGTCATAAGTCACTTTTTTCTGAGGCTGTTGTAACTTTGAACCAATATTAAACAAAGAGTGATAAGTTGAGATCTAACTATCAAGCTAAATCAGTATTGCACCTAGATTTCAGAGAATTATTTCAGCTGAGCAAGAGAAGAGAAGAAAGAACTTCTGGAGCATAGTTTTTGTTGGCTTTGTACTTAACTTGTATTTTGTATTGTATTATATTGCATTGCATTGGTTTTATATTTAACTTTTAATGACAAGACTTTAATTTTATTACATATAATAAAATGTGTGCTTTCCCCCCTCTACCAGGTTGTAGTATTATGCTTTGCAATTATTTTGGGCAGCTTTTCACAGAGCTTTGGGCCTCATTCCTCCATCACAAAAGCTGTGCTGCCAACCCAGCATTCTACACCAGAGTCATATACAGCATCAATAGGTGAGTGCAGGAGTTTTTAATGTTCTCAGTTTATAAAGCATCTTTTCTTAGCGTAGGTACTCAGAAATTTTTAAACTATAACTCTAGTCCCCCCTGTTAGTATAACCAATAGTCAGGAATGCTGGGAGCTTGTGTTGGCACCAGTGACCAACCAATAAATAATAGGTTCTAGAATCGGAGACAATAGCTCACTCCATATTTTACTGAATATAGATTCAGAGAGTTTACAGAAGGAAAAAGAAAATATGCCAGTCCTTTCAGCTACTCAGAAAACCCTGAAATTACAAAGGAGAGATTCACTGGCATCACCTGGCTGATTCTTAGTGTTTTCCTAAGTCTTCAGTCTGTGCTGAGGTTCATAATGTCTGTGGTCTCTTGCCAGTTTTTATACTTTTTCAGAATATGGGAGAAGTAAATAACATGACACCTGGAGATGGTTTGATGGCACATATTGTGAATCTCTTGATCACAACTCAGACAGTTTAGAATAGAATAGAACAGAATAATTTTATTGTCACTTTGAATGTACACTAAGCAGCATACATTAAAATGAAATTTCGTAGCATACAGCTCTCAAAGGGTCACCACCTCCTATTTAATCACTACATAAATATGACAAAAATAAATAAATAAATACAGAATTATGCATATACCCACATATATTATATGACACGGAGAAACAACAATCTAGTTCGGGTTATGTATACATGTGCATGGCGAGAAAAACAAATCTTGCGAGTTTACCAGACGGATGGCATAAGGATAGTAGTTGACTAACTACCAAAGTTATCCTAATTAAGACTTTGTTCTGAGCATGTATAACATATCCTCCCTTCTACAGTTATTGGACTAGGCTAGGGAGTACCTCTTCTTTTTATTGTCATTGGTACAAACTATAATACAGATAAGAGACTCCAAAGTGAAAGTAATTCCATGATAATAAGATATCACATGTGAGGCTATCACATGTTACATATCTAAGCGTTGGTGTAGGAAATTTTTTTCACATGTAGATAGAGAAGAAGTGGACCACTATTACTCCCTTGCTGTGTCTTCTATAGTAAGAGCTATAACAGTATCTAGTCTGAAAAAGGCTTCTTTATTGTAGGACAGCTGCACATGGTTGTATCTGCCTAGATATCTACCAGTCACTTATGTTGACTGGTAAATCAAGATGCAGGTATGCAAGCGAACTCTATTTTATTGGTCTGTTGGTACAATAGAAGGATTTATGGGGAACTGTGTAATCTGAAAATATCTAATATAGAACCTTTGAAACAGGGATGAGAAGCTACTAGTGGCTATACATTTTTATTAGCCAAGATAATGGATGGGAGTAATGATTTAGATACATCACTGGGATCTCTGGAAAGTTTGTGTGTGTGTGTGTGTGTGTGTGTGTGTGTGTGTATGTGTGTGTGTGTGTGTATAAGTAAAGCACTGCAACTCTTGGAGACTAAAAGGAGGGGTTTGGGTCTTGTATGATTGAAAGCTATAGGTTGTCCATCACCTATTCAAGAGGTTGATCTTTACTCTAATTTATCAGGTATATGTTCTTGGCTGTAGCCACTCCATCCTTTTATTCACTTCTGGTAGTTTTGAGCTTTCCTTACATACGTTGCAAGTATCAGAATTAGATTGCTTTATCAGAAACAACCAATGTATTTGGGATGGAAGGTTAAAGAGTGGAAACAGGTCAATGAGATGGCCCAGTTGGAAAGAATTCTAGTTTTGGAAAGAATTCTAGTTCTCAATTTTGAGAGATACCTTACGTACCTATAACCTATTTTGTTTAATTTAAAATGTTTACCATTTGGAAAAAGGGGAAGAGTCTTCCTCTGCTTAAGTATAGACAATTATTTCTTAACTTGAAGCCTTTCAAATATGTTCAGCTGTATAACAGGGAGCAAAATCAAGGAGTTGATATTTTACATATTTGAAAGGATCCAGTTTTGGGAAAAATAGGAAAAGGCAACTTTGTATAAATTAAATAACACATGTAAATGTAACAGCAGGAATCAACCTTATATTTCAGAAGAGTCAGAAGTCAACACCTGACCATTTTTTTTGGATCTCTGAGAGCAAGGCTACAAAATAACTCTGCTATCAAGTCCCACATAATATTTGGATCTAATATTTGGACTTAGATGGGCCATTTATCTAAGGCAGCTTTTTATACTGAAATCCACCATCTGTAGCCAAAATGTTCTCCTCTGCTAAAGCTGTTGAATGCCATCAATCCCAATGAAATTTCTTGTTTTCATAAGTATTAAATTTGCTGTTAGTTTACTCCATTTCTTCCTTATTTTTCTCTGCAGTGAGATCAAGGAGCCTGCTGACTTATGAGGGGCCTTATCCACTGGAGGAACAGCCCTTGTCAGACCACAGCAATGACTGGGACAGGCACCTGGATGCTTCCAAAGCCCTGTCTTTGGAACCCATGTCCAAGTCACAACCCAGTCATGTTACAGAGATCACAATAGCCAATGAGACAAGGCTAGAAAAGTCAGTGCTGGTGGGGCTGCAACAGCACAGGTGAGTATTTGGCAAAATTAGAATGCCCATTGTAAGTGTTTGGTTTTGAAGAAAGATACTGGGAAAGAAAAAAATATCTGCTTTAGTGAGTGGCAGAGAAATCAACCTGCCTTTTTTTTTTTTACTAGTTCCTGTTCAGCTTGGTGACAAATAATTTAAAAGGAGAAAAAAAATGTCAGTGAAAATTTTAGGGATACACTGTGATGTAGAGCTTATTTAGATACAAGATGACTAAGGGCTCAGCATGAATATTATTTGTTTGGTTGTATAATTATTTCTTCATTGACTCTTCCTGTTGGACTTTTTCATCAGCAAAAACTTTGGGCTTTATTTAGAAATCAATAAGGGTATTTATTCTTAAACAGATTTACAAATATAAATACAATGTGTCCACATAATTTCTCTGTTTACAGATGTGTTGGGAAATTTCAAAAGGTCATTATGTTCTGCTCTAGATTGCTCATTTCTTCCAAGAAAAAAAAAACACGGCCAGAGTAATTGGAAAGATAATAGAGCCAGTCAGCATGATGAATGAACAGTACCTGGAAAATATTCCTTGCCAAGAATACTACAAAAAGCTTATTCACTTGGAAAACAACCTCTAGATAGCCACTGCTTCAGGAGGATTTTCTCTTTCCAGAGTGGCTGTAGCTCAGTGTTAGAATAAGGACTGACATACATACATACCTATACCTATACATACAAGCACATACACAAAACTAATTTATTGAATGTATGAGTGTTATTCAATTGAATGTATATACATTTGCAGAAGAAGATTGTGTGAAAGGGCAAAAAGTATGGTTTCTGTGCACAATATCATCTAAAACTTTTAAACCACAGTAGGCATTACTTTAGAAAAGAAAGCATTTTTTGCCAACAGATGGCAGTTTTAAAAATGACACTTGCCATCTGCAAGTTTTATAAGAACTTAGATTTTAAAAATGCTGCCTGATTCATTGAAAACACCTTTTTACTTAATTGAAAATTGAGATTTTGAGCAATTAAATGAACACATGATCTAGTGCATGTTTATTCAGAAGCAATTTCCATGGAATTCAGTGGGACTTGCTTCCAGGAAAAAGACGATAGGATTGCGGTTGAATTGAGTAAATTAAACTATCCAGGGTTGCTTTGGATAGTGAGATAGGAAGTACACAAATTTAATATTTTTAAAAAAATAAATGGTTACAATTCTGGATAGAGAACACATGCTGGAGGTGACAGGTCTCAAATTCAGACTTTGCCATTTTAAAGTTAAAGATTTAGGGATGGGAAAGTTGAGCTTCGTGTCATTTGATATCTTGCTACTTTGAAGGGAAGCTACAATGTTCACAATAACAATTTAAAAAAACCTAAGTAGTCATTTTTGTTTTGCTTGGTTTTATTTATACTAGTATTGTACAATAACCTGAATTCTTCCTCATCTCTGCTTATAGAATCAGTTCAGAGCTGGATGCAAATGAAACACTAAAAATCGTTGAAATTGACAGAAGAGTCAACGCTACATTTTAGGAGAAAGGAACATTTCCTCCCTTGCATCTTCATTTCTGTTCCAAGCAAAAGATTGGAAAGACTTCTCACTGTCAGTAAATCTCAATGGCGAGAATGGAGGACTTGTCTGATTTTTTTAATGTGAAAAAGTGGCTTTGATAGACTATTCTCCAAAAATCCTAATTTTTAACTGTTTAGCTTGCCATTTCACTTCTACATCCATGATGAGGGTGTTGATGTGGAAATATGATAAAGGCAGACCTTTTGAATTATTTTCTTGCCTTGCTGTTTTAAAAAAAATAGTAATTGTCATACCTGACGTCTACCATAATATTCATAGTGGGAAGAACTATGTTGATGCTATTTTGATGCCACCGGTGATAGGGTGTTGCCCTCAGTGAAAATCTCCTCTGGAGCTTCCATAATCATGGTGAAGTAGAAGCATAACCAAGGAACTTTTCCCCCACTTTCTCTAGCAGAATTGGACTGTAGACGTGTTCTTTGTTGTACCTCAGTGGACAAGAATGGTTACTTCTGGCAAAACATTTTGGTCTTGCTAGACTCAGAAGTTTCATAATTACTTTCCTCCCATGGTGACATCTCTGTAAAAACTGAAAAGGCTTGGAGTCATCTTTTAGTATATTAGCTTAATTTTTCCCAGTCTGATGACTTCTTGCTACAATTCCCCAAATATTCACTAAGCCTAGTTGTGGAGAATATATACCAGATTCTCTTATGGATATGAGAATCTGGTTGCTTGTATTCCCTTATATTTTATACTCTCCTGTATCTTTCTGTTGTAAATAGTATTTATTAGTTGTTTTTTTCTACGATCGAAGCTGGAATGGCAAGTCAATGTTATAAGTTCTTTCAAATGATCTCAGCGGACTTTGAAAAACTTCCAAAACTTTTAGGCTCCAGACATTAAACCTTTAAAAATTTAATCTAAATAAGATTTTTTCCTACTTCCTAACGTGTTGTTGTTTTTTTCTCTTTGTTGTACTTGTTTTTAAATAGGCGCTTGGTTATGAAACCAGCAAAAATTTCAGTCTCAGCAAACTCAGTTTCTATAATCTTAAATGATCAGAACTTTTGGGAAGGAATTATTAGTATGAATATGTTAAAACAGCACCTCTGTAAAATACAGTTGCATGGGACCCTTCATCAAACTATTATTTATATGCTTAGAGTTCAAAAAATAATATCTCCAAATCACTTTTAACGGGGGATTTTTCAAATATCATACTTGGTCAACAATGTTTATTTTACTGCACTGTATTCATTATGTGATCATTGATTCCAGATGTAGCTAATAGATTTTAGATAATGTAGCTAGTGGGTGGACTCTAAAATAAGAGAATGTTATTTTAAACTCTCTATTTATGGATACCAAATTCTGGGATTGTGAAGCTCTTAATAACTGAGTATTAGATAGACGTATATTTCTTTTCCTATGTATATGCTTTGATTGTATTCACTGTTTTTTATTATGTAAAGTATTTTAACTAGTTAATGTTTCTGAATCAGATGTTGACTGTGCAAATTGATAGTTTTCCATTCTATAATAATCTGATAATTTGCTTCTCCTTTTCTTGTAACTCTGGGTTGAATGTCAAATTTGAAATGTCTTTCAAGAAATATCTGATAATAGGACTTTTTCTCCCAAACCATCAATTTTGAGGAGTGGGTGCTATCCATAATTTGGCTGTCAAAAAAATGAATGACTAATATGAATTGCTAGCAGTGGCTGGCTTCTATGAAATTAAGTTCTCTAATGATAGAAGGCCATTGTGTAGTCCACCCCCTCCCAGTATAAAAGTATATCTTTAGCATCTTCTCTCTCACTTCCTGACAAAAATAATTCTTCTGTAATTGCTAATTGAAAAGAAACTGCTTTTTTATATTGTTATTTTGAAGGTGTAGTCAAACCCTATGTACTCCAGCTGGCCATGTTGGTTTATTAGTTTTTTTTCCCTCACTCTCAAGACTTGTAGATTTAAATCCCACACTTTGGAGCTCAGACTTGTTGCTTCTCATGTAGTAGAATATTTTTTTTTCTTCCATAAAAAACATGAGGCCTTGGAAGGAACACAGAATTTATCAACCAGCTTTATATACATTTAAAAAGCCTAAGAAGAGGCAATTAAAAAAACCAACTGAGGGATAAGAGATGCTAGTTTATGTTGAAAACTTGTAACATGTTACTAGGGAGCCTTCCCTTATATATAAGCACAGTTTTTGCAACATAAGCTTCCTTATGACATCAATACCCAGTGGACTAATCTATCCTTTTCTTTTTGTTTAGTTTTGCATATTTTAAAATCACAATAACAAGTTGAGATATCTGCACACTTTAGAACACTGTTTGGAGTTTTGAATGGTTGCAACTCATTTGAAAGGTAGAATTATACTTTGCAGACCAACATTTCCTCTTCTGGTATATATTATTTAAATCTCTTCCCCAATTCCATCCTCTTTTCTGTACAGGTAGTCCTCGACTTACAACAGTTCATTTAGTGATGGTTCAAAGTTACAACAGCATTGGAAAAAGTGACCATTTTTCACACAATTATTGCAAAATCCCCATGGTCATGTGATTAAAATGAGGACCCTTGGCAACTGGCTCATATTGATGATGGTTTCAAAGTCCTGGGGTCATGTGATCATGTTTTGCGACTTTCTGACAAGCAAAGTCAATGGGGAAGCCAGATTCACTTGACAACCATGTTACTAACTTAACAACTGCAGTGATTCACTTAAGAATTGTGGCAAGAATGGTCATAAAATGGGGCTAAATTCACTTAACAAATGTCTCGCTTAACAACAGAAATTTTGGACTCAATTCTGATCATAAGTCAAAGATGGTGAAGAAGATGGCTTTTTTTTTTCTTCCAAAGAACATAGTCTGAAATTTTTCCTTCAAAAAAGAATGGGGAGGAGCTGTCTAAGGACAGTATTTATAAATAAATGCACATTAGCTAAATGTAATTTAATTCTTTTTGAAGATAATTTTCTGAACCCTTTTTTCTTCATAATCGTCCAAACAACACCAATCTTGTTACAATTTAAATGTGAACAAAATGTTGAGGATGCATAGGGATAAATGACACATGGAAGATAGATGAAGTAGATAATATATGGAAGTCAATGACTGTGCGGTAATTGATGCTTACATGTTTGTAGAATAGGCACTGTTTGAGCATTCACGATAGCAGGAAATGATAATAAGACAATTATCCCGCCACTGTTAACAAATGCAAAACATGCCACACTAATTCCATGGCAATACAATAAATACAAGAAAATAATACAAATGCATAATAAAATACAAGCTAGAATCAGTTTGGTAAAGTGTTTGAGATGCTGGATTAAAAACTGGGAGATTGTGAGTTCACCCTTAGGCATGAAAGGTGGCTGGATGACTTTGGGCCATTTGCTCTCTCTCAACCCAACCTACCAGGAGAAATACCGTATATGCTGGCGTATAAGGCGACTTCCGCGAGCGCTAAAATCGGCGCCAAAGATGGGGGTCGTCTTGTACGCCGGCATATACGGTAGATATGTGTCTGCCACCTTGAGTTGTGCCAAATAAAGTAGGATAAAATTAAGTGAATAAATACATTGAATACCAACTTTACAATGGATGGGGCATAGATAAAGTTTACAGGCTGGTTGAAATGAAAGTGCAATTTAATTCTCCTTAATTTTCTGTGCAAAAATTAATGGATCTCGTCGCCCATTTTAGCATCTTTTCTCAGGTGCTGAGTTTAGAGTTAGTTAGGTAAACATATCCACCTTGATTTGCTTTTTCAAGGCTAAATATTTTATAAAATTTAAATCATCCTGATACTTGGTCCTGTCTATTTTGTGAAGTGTGGCTCTTATACATCGCTTAAAATGTTGTGTATGTTGTACTTTAGGTTGAAAATCTGAAAATGTGTTGTTAATGGGACACAGTTGCCCATGACATGATTACATCTAGTGTCTTTAAAGAAGAAACGTGACTGGATTTATTTCATTCATAAAAATACTGACGTTCAGGCTTTTCTTATCCTTGAAATATAGATCATGATTTTATATATTGCAACACATAATCCTACTAAAATCGGCAGAATTAGACTCACATGATGTCTTTCTGCATCCGGGTCAGGGAATATATACATCAAAGTTCCCTGGAACTTTCATAAATTATTACTGCCTTTTAGAGAATCTTATTATAAGTTAAGTTTTCATTTGTTATTATAAGTCAGCTTGAGGATTATTGTCAAGCAAAAAATGTACTATAAGTACTTGCTTAATAATAATGTCTGTAATTTGTATCATGTAAGCCCAAACCTGTTAAACTGGGCCATACATATTGACATATTTCTGTCCCCCCCCAAAAAATAATCTCAGTTATTTCTGCTATGTGAATATGCAAATATGTTTTATCCATGGAGCTGATCAATTAAAATACAATAGTTATTTAATAAAAAACATAAGGTAAAAATTAAAAAAATGCCAATACCTTAAACATACCATTTTTATTACAATATACATATGCACTTCTAAATATGTTCTCTCTTACTTCGGAGCGGCAAAGAAATTTTGTTTAAAAAATACTTTTATTAGGCACACAAGTCTAAAATGAAACTGCAAACTAAATGCTTTTTGTATGTACCTAAGTGCAACTATGTAATGCTTTATCTATTTTCTTGCAAATAAATATTTTCCTAAAGAAAAAGAGAAGCCTGTTTAGTCATTGCATTTTAAAACTTTGCTTTTTACTCATCTGTGGTAAGGAAAGATGCAGTTTACATCTACCAATGTGCAAACCCAAAACCTAAATTATACCAAACCCCAGTATTTTATTTCACTCCTTAATCATACAGGTATATCTGGAATATCTACAAATAAGCAGAAGTCCACAACTTTATTTTCTGAATCTAGTATTCAAGCTGTATTCTACTTAGTAGCAATTGATTCATCTCTAGTCTACAAATTGATTCAAAGCCATTTTAAGTAGTGACCATCACATCTTCTGGCCAAGTTCCATAAGCTAATTACAAGTCAGTTATGAGTTGTATTTATACATTTAATACTCTTTTTTTTCTCCTAAAACCATCTCTATCTGGATCCCATTGTCCAGATATACAGCTTTTATATTTTCAGATAGCCATAATTGAACTCTATGTAGATGATTGTTCCCAATTATTTACATCTGGGGTTCCCAAATGTGTTGATTATAGATGTTAATAAGTTCACAGATTCCATTTCTACAAGGGTTTCAATTTAAAAACAGGAAGTCAGCAATGATGTAAAGTAAAATAAAAGCATCATCTTTATTTCCAGGAATACTAGTGTGCTTTAAATGGGCCCTTAAATATTTGATAGAAATTAGTAGAGAAAATTTTCCAAGTGTGAATTCTGCAAGGCTTTCCAGCCATTGTATTTGCAGGGGTTGTAGGAGATGTTTGTGTGTTCTGCATAATAAAGTAGTGTGTTACATCTCTATGTGAGTGGATGTGTTGATTAGAAACATAGGGTCAGCTTTATGGGTTCTGCTCTGGGTCTCATGACTGGGGGCTCAGAATGGAGTAGTTAGCAACTTTCTGAGCCACTGCCCTCCTGCCTCTCCTCTAAATCTGCATTGGACCAATTCTTTCTCTATAATGTTTTTCTCTGTAGGTCTTGATCTAACCTAGTTTTGCTTCAAAATTTGCCTCTCTTTTTCTGCTTTGTCTGCCACCCCAAATTTGGCCCCGTTCTATTTGGGTTTTGGAGAGACAAGACAGAATCCTGAGTGACCAATTTCTATTCTCATTTCATTGGATTGGAAATAAATTGGGGGCTAGAGACATTTTTAGAGGGCTTCACTGTTAAGATGTATATATTCATTCTCTCTCTGCCTGGGTCTCTATATATTTTACTTGTAATTAACTTTTTTATTACTAAACAGCAACATCTCCCTATCCCGTGTCCATGGGAAGGACTCGATAGGTGGACAAAAATCCCAAATCCAGTCTAAACATCTGGATGATGTTGGGACAGGATATGCTGTCCTAATTTGCAGGGATAATTCCTAGAATTCGCTGCTATCTGGTTGCAAAACATCTGGAGAGCATCAGGTTGGGGAGAGCTAAGACAGCCTCTGTATTTCTGAAATCTGTGCATCAAATAAAATTTCTTCAGGGTAGACATTTGATTTTGTAGGAACACAGAAAGTTTGATTTGCACAAATAAATGCTGAATTATGACCACAGAGACCTGTAAATGTAGATGAGTGAACATGACTCAACTTGCATGCTAGATTAATACTTAGTTTTATAAAAAAGATTCATGGCAAAGCTAGTTGGTATTTTCTATCAGATTGATTTACTGAGAAATATCAAAGCCTTTAACTTTGCTAGAACCTTACTATTACTTTTTTCAATCCCATCCACCCACTCATCCACTCCCTTTTTCTTTCTCCTTATTTAAAGTATTTATATCTTGTTCCTGAAGTATACTGATTTTCTAGGACAACATAACATTACAAATGTTATGGGAGCAGTTAATGGCAACAATTTAAACAATAAGTGATGGTGAAGTAAAAACAAAAGTGACATTAAAATGCATTTAAAGTTGAAAAGAGCAAGAAAGTCTTTCAACTTCTTTTAGGGGGAACTGTTGGCAATTGAGTAACTCACGGCATAATAATCTCCAGATGCATCATTTGGAACTTCTTCCCTAGAAAGCATCTCATGTTTTATAAAGTCTTTCGGCAAATTCAATTTGGTTTGATCTGTTTGATTCAATATGGCTGATCCAATGTTGTAGTTCTGATGTTTTGTTTATCACAGTTGTACATGAAGTTTGATCTTTCTATCTTATAGACAGAATGATGGGATAGCAGTTATAGTTGTGGTTATCAAACTAGTAGATCTTATAAATGAAAGATGATAAAAAGGTATTTTATTATATAAAATAAATATAAAATAAAATAAAATCATCATCATCATCATAATAAAATAATATAAAATCACTTACATAAAAAGGTATATTATTATATATTGGATTGGGTTATAATGGGTATGCAACACAGGCATATATTTTACGATTCTGCTCTTTGGTGCCCATTAAACATTCATGGACCAAACTCCACATTGCATGAGTTTGCAATGAATAGGCATATGAAAAGTAATGGAATCTAGTATACTTGTCTTGCTTGTAAAATTACTTCTCTATCTGAATAAAATAATAGAATAATAATAATAGGCCACTGAGTCAAATCCCTGCTCAGAGCAATAATCCAAGTTAAAGCTTCCATGCCAGATAGCTTGACTGCAGCCTTGAATACATTCAGTGAAAAGGAGGACCCCAGCACCTCTCTGGGTAATTGTTTCTAAAGTTGATTTTCTGTTTTGATTTTTTTACAGTAACAGTCAGTCTGAATCTGTCTTCTTGTAATGTAATCCCATTAATCTGTGTTTTGCTTTCTAAAATGATAGAAAATCTAGACCTTCTGCCTGACACCTGTTCAAGGGCCCAGAATGCTATCACAACTTCTTCATGAGTGAAAGCAAATATACGTATCCCAGGATAATGTTGCAGGATCCAATCTATGTCAGTCACTGGGACGAGTCACTTCTGAGCTTTCAGACTAATGCTGGAGTCTATCCTCAAGGAAAGTCTCTCTACTGTAACATGTGTCACACACATTCCAGTCGAGAGAAGTTCCCTGAGGGTGGGCTCCAGGATGAGTCTGAAAGCTCAGAAGACTAAACCTCTGATCCCAGTGACTGACCCAGATTGGATCCTGCAAAACCTCTTCAATATTTTTGCTCAGGCCTAAATATTCTGAGTTCCCTCAGTTTAACAAATACAGTAAATAAACCCATCCTGCTCCAAAGCCCTGTTGCATTATGAATGGAAGGCAGGATTTTTTTTTTTTTTTGCTTTGCACTGTAGATCTCTGCAGTGTTTCAGATTTACTGTCTAAAATGATCTTTGTGGTATATGGCCTGTCTACAACTCTTTAAAGTTGCTGAGTCTTTTCCTGGGATTATTCAGATACTTCAGAGGACAGCCACTCATTCTGGAAAATAATCGGGCAACCTTAGAAACTAACAGGTAAGTGCTATATTTCATTGTAACCATGTGCTCTGAAGCACCTACTGGAAACTAAGTCCAAAGTTCTGCACAGCCATTAAGAGAACAGAGACCCAAAGAGAAGGAAATATTGATAGTGACACCTCCAATATCTACTGTATATTTGTTAGCCAGAATCCATGTTTTTATTGTAATGAGAGCATTTGTCTAGGGGAAGAGTATATCTTGAGAAAAGTTAGAAGTGCATCTGGTGAGCTTATAGATTTCATCTCAGCTCCTTGTATCCTGCTAGACTTCCTTCACCATTCCAGTATCCCACCAGACAAGAGAATGTCTTGAAAGAAATTTTGATTTGGTGCTAGTTGAAGAGTGGCAAGTAGATATTATCTTCTCCTCACTATTCCAATGTCTTCCTTGCAAAGTAAAATTGTTTATGTGCTTTATTTATTTATTTTACAGGATACCCAACTCATGCATCAATTTCATCATGAGCTAATGATGGAAATCTTCAGCAGAACTTTTTTCCTCCTCACCTTTTCTTAATTTTTCTTTAAGTTGGATAGTTCCAGATCACCTTCCTGTGTCCCACAATGATAGTTACAATTAAAAAAAAAAACAGTTGCTTTTTTTTTATACCCTGCTAATATGCTGAAGCAGCTTATGTTTGTCCCCTTTACAGACATGGGACTCTCATACACAACTTCCATCTTTTTGCAGAACCCAAGGGAGAGGAGACCTCTCCTGCTCCCGTCTCACTTCCCACTTTCCACAGAGGGGCTTCTAGCCAGATCTAAAGGTGTAGCTGCTGCTGCTCTTCTCTTAAGGAGGGCGTGGCAGGAGGAGCAGCGAGAGGGGAGGAGGCGCTGATTGGCCAGAGGGGGGTGGGTGGGAGGTAGGGAGTTTCCCACAATGCCCCGCTGCAGCCAGTGCAGCCGCCGATGGATGCTGCGGGAAAGTGCTGCCATTTGCAGCCGCTTGGACCGGTGGCTCGACGAAGGGGCTCCATTCTGGCCGCGACGGCAGCAGTCGCCCGCCGCCCGGTCTCTGTCCCCGGCTCAAGCCGATCTGCTGGGCTAGTTCCCAGCGCTTCCTCTCTCCGCCGGGCTGCTGTTCTTTCAGCACCGCTATGAACCCTGCTTCAGCAGCCGGAGAGGAGAAGGGGGCTGCAGGAGGCAGCGGTCCCGGCGGCAGCACGTGCCGTGGGGCCGAAGGCGGTGGGGACCCTCGCAGTGCTCCCGCCACGGGGGCCGACCCAGAGGTGCCTGGACTAACCGGTCAGAAGGAGGACTCTCTGGAAGAGAAGCTGAAGAGTTTAACCTTCAGGAAACAGGTGTCTTACAGGTGGGTGAAGAAAGCAAAAAGGGGAGCGTTGGTTTTCTGGGTGTGCTTTGGCCCACCCGGTGAGTAGGGCGCCTCCTTTTTCTCCTCTATAATCAGCATTGGAAGTTCTTTGGGGAGAGCGCTCACGAAGTCTCCTGTCTGTCCCTCCCGGTGGTATGGGCTTTGCATATTCCCCACCATCTCTCTTACTGAAGTGCATAAGAAACCCCTTCCTGCTGCTATTCTAGTTGGGATGGTGTGATTTCCTTCCCTCCCTTTACTTCCATCCTGCCTATGATGTGAAAAGCAAGCTAAGGAGATACTCTCACTTTGAATTCAGACGAAGAACATGGGATTTTTTGGGGGGAGGGGGGTGGATAGAGAAGAAAAAGGATCCAAATAATGCATTTCCATTCTTTGACAGCCAGGATTCCTGTTCTTGAGTATATGATAATTAGCTTGGACAACTATCTGTGTTGCTTTTCATGGGGTGGGGAGCATGTTTTAATAAAATCTGATCATTTCCCTTCCCCTTCTAGTCAACAATCACATCAGTAGCAGGTGTTCTTGTCCAGAGAGATATTCTACAACTAAAGTCAGTTTATTAAGAACAGAATGTAGTATGTAATGTATGTTTCTGTGTAAAGTCATTATGCATACAATCAGAAAAACAGATGTTACCCCAGCTCTTGCATTTCTTTTTTGTTTAATATGAAAGTGAGACGATCGATAATAATGCTATTTAAAGTAGTGCTGCAAAGGAGTGGGCATTCCTTTACACAGACCTAGCCTTTGTGGAGATAATGATTTTGATAATGTGTGATGTCATCACGATTCTTGATAGAATAGTGCAAGTACATATGTTTGTGAGAGACTGAGCCATCATAGAAAACACATAATATACTTGGTAGCTCTGAAAGAGTTAACATTGCACAGAAAGGTAATTTTGTATTCTTTGAAATCCAATGTGACCTATAGGCTTTGGGAGTTACACTGTCAGAATAAAATTGCAAGCCACATCAGAGATGAGGGTGAGGATAGCATCTCCTTTACCAATGCAACTTGCATGAAAAAAATAAACCCTGATCTTGTTTATGATCCTTCTTCAAACAAACAAAGCTTCAGGAGAAAATTGTCTGTGTATATAGACTTTAGGATTAGGGGGAGTTCAAAACAGTTAACTGCTTGCCCAGGAAATCTTGTTATTTTGGAGCCCTGATGCTTGAACTAAAAAGAAGAAAACAAACTGAAAGTAATATTGCTTTATGGCATGGAGAGCTGGTGCAGTATTTCCCTGGAAAACACTAATTTTGGTAGCACTGATGACTGTTGAAGGCTTCAGGAGTCTTCCAAAGAACAAGTGTTCATATCCATTTTCAGCACCCCAGTGAATCATTATGTAAGTCTCAGTAAAAATTCAGTTGATAGCTACATTATGTATCTACATCTTCTGTTTAACAACTGAAGATCAAGCTGAATCAGAGGTCAGCTAAATTCAATTACTTGGTAAAATGCATGACTGTGTGCATTTTAAAACTGTTTGCTTCAGTTTTCTCTACTAAGCCAGTAGATTCTAATTTCTGTTTGCAAATTTTAAAAAATTATATCTGTGTCGATTGCAAAGCCAGCTTGGAGCCAAATAAGCAGTTCTGAAAGCTATGGCTGAAACTCACCTTTCTGGTGCTCTATAGCCAGGTTCATAGACAGGCAGCCATCGTGCAATTTCCTTGACTCCAGAATGGGATTTTAGAGAAGTCTTATTATTATTGCCTTGTGTTATCTGCTATCTTATGTTATCTTATGTTATCTTATGTTATGTTATCTTATGTTATCTTGTGTACTCTGCTATCCTCAAAAAAAAAAAAAAATGAGCAGAGGAAAAAGAAAATAATTCAACAATGCTTTTGGATTGTGTGCTGGAAGCTCCGTCCAGAAAATGTTCCTTTATCGGTAGATCCACTTGTTTCAGAGAAAATAATAATTACAATTCTTGATAATTTCTCTTTCATCCATACAACTGAAAAACTAAATGGAATGCATAGGAATACAAGGTAAAGAGGCTCAAAATAACTTCAAGTAAAGAATCAATTTATAGGGGCACAAAAATGGTATGAAAGTAATATGAGTGAAATTAAAACAAAAGAAACAAAAGCAGTTAACTCAAACCACCATCATTCTAACTTTTTTATCGGGACATAAAAGCTTTATTAATTTTAAAAAGGTAAATGTGGAGAAAAACAAACACTCTTTTTGAAATCAAGGAAATGATTTGGTAGACTGTTATTTTTCATAACTGTTGGCTTATGATATACACAAGTCCTATCTGTCTTTATTTTATTTCACTTTATTCTTTCCAATCTTTGCAAATTCTGCTTAGTTGCAAAGATTGTTTGCTCAATGAATTACAATGAGACACTTGCATAGGAAATACTAGCAATAGTTAACTGGATTCTATAGTTTTCCACTGCTGGAAAATACTGAAACCTAGAGAAAGTATTTTGAAGTTTGGATGTTTGTCAATCCAGTCATATTCTGTTATGTCCAGAAGTGTAAAAAAGAAATTTCTAAAGCAGCTTTGAAAGGCTCACAGAGCTTTCTGAAATATAGCATCCCCAGCAGCCTGACTCCATGTACATCATGGGCTATTTCTTTTGACTTTGTAAAAAAGACCCAACAGTTTCACTATTAGACGGTTTCAGAGTGATTAATTCTCAGCTGTGTGACCATCACTCCAGAACAGGGGTGTCAAACTGCCAGCCCATGGCCTGGTTGCATCATATGGAGGGCACACCCACCCCAGCTCCGGCAATGCAAAAAAGTCACGATACGTCGCGATACATCAAGTGACATGGCGAGTTTGATACCTGTGCTTCAGAAGATTTCTATTGCAGCTGTTGCCTGCTGGTCTAACCTGTTTTTTTTTTTTAATAATTACCATGAAGATCAATGTCGGACTTTCTAGTAGTAATGAATTGAAAGTAGAGACATCAACAGGTAGCTTTGGTTTTCCAGGTAAGGATGCAATGAAAAAGCAGAATGCTGTGTAGATTATGAACTTTCTGTTACTGTCTTTAGCCACAGCCTTTAAAGTATTAAAATGAAAGGGGATTCTGTACTTCCTTGCATTTCCAAGCAAGAATAAAGTTTTTGGTAAACACAAAAGGCTAAAGCTACATTTGGCATGCACCTATGAACCTATCTTTTGTTTGCAGTGATCAGGTTTGTCCCCTATTTTTATTGGCAGTCCAGTATGAAGAAAGGGGAAAATAGATTTAACCCCATGTTTTCACTCGTAGTTCCAACTGGATCCTCCCCCCCCCCCATGATTGCTCTCTGCTATATTGTTTGAGCATTAGCTATAATATTGCTATCATTAATAGTCACCTTGCAGTTACTTTGTAAAATGTTGGAGGAGAGAGTCTTTAATCTGTAATGTGTCATCTAAGCAACCCCACAGTACTAAAAATAGCACAGTTAAGGAGGGAAAGGAAAAGAAAAGTCAGGGAAAGAATTATGTTCTATGACCCATGTTCAAAGAAATGGTCAATTACTTATTCAGTCAGCATTTCTAAAAGGAATGGGAAGGGATACCATCCTATTCTTTGTGCCAGGCAAGAATATTGGAATACTATTTTCTTTAATATTTAGTATCGTGGCTCAGCTACTCCCTGTAATTTTGTTCTAAAGCTCTGGCTGTATTCAGATGCTTAGATGGAGCTAATCCATTTACTGATGATCCAATCATTTCAATGCAACTCTGCCAGATAACCCCTCCCCCTTTTTAAATGGGACTATCTTTTGAATCAGAATTACAGCTGTAGAGGCCCCAGCAGCACTACCTGTTCTTACTACTGCCCAAAGCCTCAGTCAGGGCAGAGAGTTCTTTGCCTGGGTCTTGGCTTTAAGCCTATCAGGCTGGACCAATGGCTTGAATCTCAACTAAGTTTCCATATATGGGGATCAAAAGGTTCCACTGAGGGAGAAGGCAAGACATTGCTCCTCCTCCTCCTCCTCCTCGTCTTCCTCCTCCTTGTCCTCCTCCTTCATCTCATCTTCATCATTATCATCATTATCATTTAAATTTATATGCTGTCAAGATGCCAAGTGACTATGGGTGGTTTATTTTTATTTTATTCTGCAGTAACTCTAGGGCAGTGGTTCTCAACCTGTGGGTCGGGACCCCATTTGGGGTCGAACGACCATTTCACGGGGGTCGCCAAACCACGTTGTCCGCCATTTTTTTCCCTTTTCCCTAGCTGACCTACTCCCTCTTATTGGTGGCAACACCCACTTGGGGGTCACCACAACATGGGGAACTGTATTATGGGGTCACGGCATTAGAAAGGTTGAGAACCACTGCTCTAGGGGGTCTCCCAGTCCCAAAGGGCTGATTTCCCGGGTAAACAACTCTTCGGTTGGACAACATTGAGATGACACAGGCGGTAGAGAGGGCACATTTCTTCACTGCCACTACCATTCAGACTAAAATTAAAATAGGATTCTTAATCTTTTGCTAATGGTGCAAGCATTGCTTTGAGTGTCCAAAATATACATACTGTAGATGTAGCTTGGGAATAATCACTGATATAAATACAGTCAAGGACGGGATTGCAGCTATCTTGCTAATTTACAAGCACATAAATTCTTAGTCAGACCTTCATTCTTTGACTAAGAAAACAAAACTGGTCGTGATCTACTATAAGCATGATGTGCCCAGAGGACTTTCTCTAGGGCAGATAGCTATGGGCAAGCACAGAAGACAGCCTTAATGTATACTGACTAGGGTGCCCAGAAGATAGCAGCAAAATGATACAGAAAACTAACCTTTTACTGCTGTCCATTGGTTGTCTGGATTTTTGCATCCCAGAACTGTTATCCCACGAACTGCTAGTTTGTTCACTTTGTAGCTATTTTTTCTGAGCTGCCACTGCGGTTGTTCCTCTCAAGCAGTGATCTGTGTGCCACTTCCTCAAGTTATTAACTCTTCTATCGATGACCAATGTTGGGATGAGACCAGTTTG